TAATCGGGCTTTTGAGCGCATGCACTAAAATAAGCCCTCCCTGAAAATATTTAAATGCATGTGCAGCTGGTCCCCGCCATTTCTTCTGGTTAGGGTTAGGGAGACAGAGCTGGAAATCAGGTAAGACGGCAAGAGGAGCCACATCTTGCTCCATGCGCCCCAAAGTAATAAGACATCTCCGAAAATAGGGCCAAGCGTTTATTTCGGAGTTCAAAAAAATATAAGACAGGGTCTTATTTTCAGGAAAACATAGTATATGCTGTATTTTGGAAAGTTTCAATTGTATATCTCTAAAAGAAATATTTTAATAGAAAAAAAGGTTTCTACAAAAACTCAAACTTTGTAATTTAGAATAAAACTACTATTAAAATAAAAAGGACTTTTGGTTTCTTTGGGGCCAGGCCAATTCCATATTACAAGATAAGGTAATTGTAAAAAATACAAATAGACATCAATCTCTTTTTGGAAAAATTAGTGTTAATTATTTTTCATAGAACTTAAAGTTACTGTATAATTTCAAAACATCAGATTTTATTTAAAATGCATTATGGAGAATCTACCCTGGGGCTTAAAGAATTTTAGGATTTAAAAGGGGCGGGGGGGAATGAGATGATATACTTGTGAGTTTCTATGGCAGCAGGAAGGATTTTTTTATCAACATCCACTGTGAGAATACATCTTAACCTTTATATTGATGGCATCAAAATCTATTAAGAATTTTACACAATATTATAACTACCCATCCCATTAGGTCCGGCAGGAGGGGTATGCTGCCAGTCCCATCATCAAAGGAGCTCCATCTGGTGGGTCCAACTTGTGTGTCTTTTCTGCTGTGCCTCCTACCTTCCAGAATATGATTCTCTCAAACTGACATTAGCCCTATGTCTGTTAGCTTTTTGGAACACCCTTAAAATCACCCTTTTTCATCAGCCTTAGGAATCCCATGGGAAAACCAGTAGATGGCTGCCTGAAATTAAATGATTATTGTTCTCCTGCAATCTTGAAGCGTTTTTTTAATATCTTTATTTATGTTTGACTGTTTTTAGATTTAATTGTAATTTTTACCTGGTGCAGGGTTTGCATGTTGCCCAGGTCACATTATTGTGAGAAGGCAGCTAATATAAATATGCTAAATAAATAAATTGTAATTTGAAAGGAACATATTTCCCCTCTGTTGGAAAGACAAGAAACTACGACATTTTGGAAAGAATGTGTTTAAAGGCATTTAAAGCATACCTAGGATTTAAGATTGAATTCTCTTCAAAACTAAATCTGTCACTCATATCTGTTGGCCGGAATAAGAAATTGCAAGCTGAAAAGTCATTAAGTAAAAAGCAATTAATTTTTTATTTATAACAGTAATTATCACTGCTAATGGACAAATAATAGAAATATCTGGAAAATTTCAATAGAGAAAAGACATGTAGTCTGTATCTGTACCTGAAAAAAGTGTCTGATAAAATCTACTACTTCTAAATCCAAACCCATGTTAACAAAAGACTATTGCTAATAGTTACATATTCATGTAACAGTCCATAAGCAAACAAATTAGCTATATTATGATTTAATTTAACGTCATGATCCACATAGCATTCTAAACAAAGCTAAACTACACAACAACAATCACACAACTCTATTTCAGCCACATCTTGGTGCAATGTGTAAACCCAACAAGTAAGTAAATCCTTTTCTCTAACCTCTAAAAGTTGTTTAGTCCTAAAAGAGCTGACTATTTAATTTAAAAATAACTGGACACAGAAGAAAAAAGAAAATGAATGTCTTAATTTAATACTTTTAAATTTTAGTACTAAATTAATATTAATTTAATACCAACCAGTGCAGGGTTGTAGATTAGTGTCTATGAACACATCATGTGTGTTTCTATTTCTATGTTTGAACTTCCAAGATTTAAGATTCTGTCAGCTCCTAGAACTAAAAAAACAGAATTCAGTATCATTTGAATACAGTATATCTTTGTTAGGAGGTTGAAAGAAAAGGGTCATGAAATGAACATTTACTTACAGCCAAATAAAAGCAACTCTGGCAACAAATTTAAAATAAATATATTTTAAATCATTTTTAAATAACATATATGGAGTGCTTTTTATTGGTACTTATGGAATTATAATTATAAATTCATATTTAAATTGCTCGTGCTCGAGGTCTATCGTATCATTCACAACATACAATTGATTAGAGGTGAATAGCTAATAAATTTAAATAAATAAATAAACTTTAGCTTCATTTCTCAAATGATTTTAAATGGGAAGGGAAGGTATGTTAGCTTCTATGCATATAAAAACTAAAAAGGGATACTTCTTTTTCCCTTAGGAATTCTACAGATATCATTATTAATTTAATTAACTATTAATTCATTCATAGTTAACTCCATATTCTACTCAACAAAGCCTTGGTACAGTATTTCATTAACAGAAAGCAATAGTTCTTAGCCAACTTTTCTGTATGCAAAAATGAATGATGAATAATGAATAATGTTGAAGTTTCTCTTCTTGGGCTTTGTTGCCCACATTCTTGTCATACAGACATCCTTGAGAAGTTATTATTTAGGCTTACTGTAATTATTGTGGTATTTATCTTTAATTAAACAATTGTTACAGGTTTAGAGAAGAAATAATTTCTCATTTAGCACACAACATGTAATGCATATGTTATGCATATTTTTGACAGAAATGACAGTATGATTTAAAAGGACTTATTTTATCATTATTTTTAAAAGCTGCAGTACAATACTTTTACACCTAGTTGCTATAAAATAAGCTTCAAATACGCTAGATTGTTCCATTGCAAAGCATCAAATGTTCTCTCAGGATGCCCATCTATGGTATAATGCAGTATTTTTCACATATCAGCTGCTATCTATTTTCAAACTCCTATTTGTCTTTAGGGATCTATGATGGACTTCTGAGAGACTGAGAAAGAAGCTGTCAGTTTGCAAAGTATTATATAGCCAAAACATTTGCGAAATCCCCACTGCTTCAAGAGGCAGTCAGGAACAGAATCCCTGCCCTAACAAATTTACTGATAAGCATTAAAATATACATATCCAATCTTCAAGATTAATGTCAAGCCCCTAGCAGCTGCTCACAATGAAAAAACCTAGTTTTTCATATAGTCTTAGTAACTAGATTCTATCACTTCCTCCTCCAAGAGGAATGTACAGATGATCTAGTCCTGAATTATTTTGCAAACTGCCATTGTCTTTCTCAGACTCTAACTAGTCAATTATAGTATGGTATAGATCCGTGATGGCGAATCTATGGCACGCGTGCCACAGGTGGCACGCGGAGCCATATTAGTGGGCATGCCAGCTCAGCTCTGGGGTGCATGCACGCGCCGGCCAGCTGATTTTCAGGCCTTCTGGGCCCACCAGAAGTAGGGAAACAGGCTGTTTCCTGCCTCTGGAGGGCCTGGGGGGTGGGGAAGGCCCGTTTTTCTTTCTTACCTGGCTCCAGATCCTTTCTATGCATCTGGGAAGGGCGAAAACAGCCTTTCCCACTCCCTTGGAGGCCTTCGGAGGCTGAAAGGGCCCATTTCCCGACTCCCGGTGGGACAGGAAGTGATGTTTTTTTCCTGTCCCCAGCCTCCAGAGACTCCTAGAGAGGCTGCTAGAGACTCCTAGAGAGGCTCCTAGAAACTCCTAGAGAGGTTCTGGAGGCTCTGGACAGCAAAAAAATGTCACTTCCTGTCCCACCGAGAGTTGGGAAATGGGCCCTTTCAGCCTCTGTAGGGCCTCCAAGGGATTGGGAAAGGCTGTTTTCTCCCGTCCAAGATGCATAGAGAGGATCTGGAACCAGGTAAGAAAGAAAAACGGGCCTACGAGGCCATCATGTGCCAGGAGCGGGGGTTGGTGGGGTTGCGTGCGCATGCACGTGGGCATGTGTGCGCATGACCCTCCCCGACCCCCCCTACTGGCACGCAATGGCAAAAAGGTTAGCCATCACTGGTATAGACCAAGGTGTCAAACTCACCGCGTTACGTTGCTGTTACATGACTTTTATGAAGTTTTTCCCATTCACGGAGCTCGGGTGGGTGTGACCTGCACTTGGCGCATCCAGCCCATGGGCCGCCAGTTTGATACCCCAGTATAGACCACAGACAACAGTGAAATTTATTTCCCTTTATTTCAAGGAAAGATTTAATATATATTTAATAAAAACAAAGTTTTATTTTCCAATGCAATACTGTATTCCAGTTTTCTCCATTATTTATATCCTGGAACTCTTCTGTTCCTCACCTTTTATGCACCAATGCATTGCCTTCCAAAATATTCATGCTGTCATTCTTTGGTAGTTGTATGAGAGAGTGCTTAGTCCTTGGCTAATGAAAGACCTGGCATTAAAGTGAGATGAGGGAGAGGCTTATACTGACTGATGTGAGGCTCTTCTAATAATCTATGCACTCATGCAGGGCATAACAGTGCAAACACCACTTGTCAGTTAAGTGCAGAGTAAAATTGCTCAATCAAGCATTATGCCCTGCAGTTGTCTGAAATTAGTTAATTCCATGCTGGACATGTTGATAGCTTTAGAGAAATTGTTAGCTATTCTTACACCTTGTAAAAATTGATTGGTTGAATGTGTGCCATCAGTCAGTGTCAATTCTTAGTGATAACATGGGTAGATTTTTTCCTGGACACTGTGTCCCTAACGCGGTCCTTCACATCTTCCAATGCTGTATTTATTGGCACTGAATCCATACATTTTGCTGCTGGTCTCCTCTTTTTATTTCCACCTTTCTCAGCATTGTAGACATTTCCAAGGTTAGGTCTTTGATACTATGCCCAAAAGATAATAATTTGATCCTGATTATTTATGCTTCAAGTAAAATCTGGGTTCAGATATTTATCAAATTTATATATTAAATTCATGGAAGATTTAGCTAAAAAGTAACTAGACCTTTGAAATATAAACTGTAATATTTAGCTAATGTTTGACCAGCACAATACGAAAATGTCAACTGAAACTCTATCTTCCTTTCAGAAACACGATGGCCACTTCACAGTCATCCAGCTTGTTGGGATGCTTCGTGGAATTGCTTCAGGCATGAAATATCTCTCAGATATGGGTTATGTACATCGGGATTTGGCAGCTCGGAATATTTTGGTCAATAGTAATCTCATGTGCAAAGTCTCTGATTTTGGATTATCACGGGTACTAGAGGATGATCCTGAAGCAGCTTATACAACAACTGTAAGTTCATTTGGGGTTTTTTCCTAATACAAAAAGGTCACTCATGAGGGTGAGAATGGAATTTTTTTACGCATGTACAAATATACAGCTCTTCCATAGCCTATAATATACAATAGCAGGCTATCAAAATGAGTTTTCCTTCAAAGAAGGCAAGCCAAGGAGCAAAATGGGAAACTGCAATTTGCTTCAGTCAGCTTATTTAGGAAATAATTGGCCTATATTATTGGAATGTACACAAGACCAGACTTGCTTCTGGCAAGGTCCTCTACATATAATAGCTGTAGAACTGGCCACTTCATCATTTCCTAACAACGCTGTCACACAGAACTCTTCAATATGCAGAAGTTCAACAAATGAAAGAAGTTAATATTCCAGGTATGGAAGACAGCAACTTATATAAAGCTGAACTTTAGCATCATAATTTCTATTTGGCTCTTACAGGTATGGAATTATAGATTCCATTCTTCCAATAAAGGACCCCCTTCTATATCTATCTGTTTCATAGTCAAAACAAGAACAAGGAGATTTTAAAGCATTCTGAAACATTTGTTGACAAGAGTTATTCATTCAGTCATTCAATTCCTATAGGCCACCCAACTCAACCAAATGATTGTGATTTCCCCCAACAGATAAAATTCAGCTCCTTTCTCCTGTCCCATCATAAATCAAATGGTGAGACTAATTCACATCATTTTGCAACCATCCCAGGGATGTTAAAAGTTGTAGTGTAATAAACTTTAGAAGAAAACTACCAAATATTTCACCATTTCTAGTTATTCCCTCTAACACTTTAGTGATGTTTGAACTAATTTTCTCTTTTAATTGCTTCGTTTTCATTGTAGCCAGATTGGTTTCATATCTCTGTGTGAATATTATTATTGGATATATTATTTATGTTGACAATAATGATGGATGGATGGATGGATGGATGGATGGATGGATGGATGGATGGAATTTATTGACTCTTTGGCTCTGGCTGGCATAATAGACTGAATTATTGGAAGACTTAGCATTTTTAACCTTTAATGGCATTTGTTATGGCTCTACCAAATACCAATTTAAACTGCCTCCTGCATTTCTAGAAACATACAATCACCATGCTTTCACAAGTGAAATTAGTGTTTTATTTGTGATACAGCATGAGGAACAGGACTAAAGAAATGACTCATGTACCTTAAAATTAGATGAAATTAGATTAAAATTGGATATTAAATTTTTATATATTCGGTTTTACATTGTTTTTAAATTTTGTAAATTTATATGTGTTTTAATATGGCTGTACACTGCCCTGAGTCCTTCGGGAGAAGGGCGGTATAGAAATCTAATAAATCTAATCTAATCTAATCTATTATTTTGAAACAATGCCTCAGTCTCAATTCTTAATTACATTTATTTTTCATTTTGGGCCTCAGTAAGATTTTTTTTCCATTGTGATCAACATTGCTTCAGCCTCAGTGATTAATATTTTATTCTGTGGGAGCTATTCCTTTTGGTTTGAAAAATACAATTCTTAAGAGGTGGTAAAGTGTAAAATAAAAATAGATATATTGTATATGTTGTCCTATGCTTGGCACACCAATATTTATGAAGCAGTTCTTTTTTTAGGGTTTCCTTCTTTAGAAGGGTCAGGTTTCCTTGATGAAAAATGAAACAGTTGTGTATTCCCATATGGATATAAAGAATTGGATTTTCATTGACAATGAAAATAAATTTTAATTGTAAAACCGTATTTATTTAACATTCAGTGAAATTTACTCACCTTTTTATTTAGTATATTAACAGTTTTGTAATCTGTTAATCTTGTATCCATAAATACTGAATAAGAATGTCTTTCTATATATGTGTGTATTTGTGTGTATATTATCTTATTTTGTTTTGCAAAAATGTTTTTTTAATCCTACTTATGCCTTTTCAAATTTATATTAAATTTATTAGGGCTCACTATCAAGCTGCTTTTCATTGTACAATGTTCTTCAATTATTTGATTCACCAGAAGCCTTCAATGCTTATTTTCTGCATTAGTTTGTCTTTTTCCCCAGTTTGCTTACAATATAAGACCCATTCAAATAACTTAATTTTTAATTAATTTTAATTTTCTGTTTTCAAATTTTCCTTATTAGAATATTAAAATATCTGCATATATGCAATATTAATCATTCTGAAATGGGGTTAAAAACTCAAGAAGACCTTTTGTTGAAGCTGTTTGCCATTTGTAATTTATTATCAACTTTTCATTCTCAGTCACGGAGGAAACGCCAGTCACTAAAGGGTTACAACCAAGCCAGTAGCTCTAGGACCGAGTCCACCAACAAAAGAAGCCCCGCCTCTTCCTGTATCCAGTTTTTAGACTTGGTCCGGTAGAGGACAGTCGTGTCTGTTAGTTCTCTCTCTCATTAACTCTTTGTGGGGGAGTTATTTGGCCATTGCTGGCTTATTTCTACTTAGTTTGCTCCTTTCTGCTCAAATTGCTGGAGTTTTCTTCAAAAGTGGCTAAACTTTATTGGAATCAGCTGGGGAGTGCTAGAAACGCTCCAGTGGCCCTGAGCAGCCCTGCAGCAACGCCCACGTGCGTTTTGCATCGCCCTATCTTTTGCAGCACTTTCAAAGGATTTTGGAGGCTTTTGGAGAGGTTTCCCTGCCTCCTGTTGCTGTTGGAGGATTCTGGCTGCTAACTTCTGGCGCGAAGGCTTTTCCACGCCCAATTTTGCCACGCTGTTAAGCCCTTTGGCTAGTGGCTATTTCCTGCCTCCTGAGTAATCTTCCTGGCTCCTGGATTCTACTCTGCTTCTCTCCTGGCGCAGTGAGTTACCTGAACCTCCAATTATTCCCTATGGGTGCATTTAAGGGTGATTTCTATCCTTTGCATTTATTCTGAGCTGCAAAAGTAAATTTCTGCTTTATCATGGCTGATGCTAGGAGCAATAAATCCCAAAGCAAAGGAAAAAGGGGCCATTCTTCTGATCCTAAAGAAAGTTCCTCAGGGGATTCTGTTCCTCCCAAGGCAGCCAGAGTTTCTACTAGATCCACTCACTCCAAGAGTGCTAATATTGCTACATCATCAAGAGAAGAGACCAGGAGGCATAAGGCCATGGAAAAGGCCTTTCAAAAAGCTGCTTCAGAGGCCTCTAGAGTTTCATCTCCTTCTGTGGGGCCTTCTAAATCTCCTGCCTTCCCCACTTCCAATGTGGCTGTTCCTTCTTCCCAAATCCAAATTGAACATGATTTTCCTCCTGATCAGTCTACTCTGGGTGAGAATGTAGCTGCTGATGCTTCTTCAGTTTTTCCTGCTGCTAGGCCTCTATCTCCAATTGTTTCTATTCAGGCCCCCCCAAGGCAAGAATTTCCTGAGGCTCAAGCCCAAACCTGCATTCAGGGGTCTGAGGCTCCTGTAAATTTAACTCCTGCCCTAGCTGAACTTGTTTCTGTTTCAATTAGGCAGGGTATTGCTGAAGGCCTTCAGCAAAGGGCCTCTTCTGAGGCCTCCAGTTATGTGAGTCAGCAGAGTCGTTCTGTGAGGGCCCAGGCTGTTGCTGATCCTGTGCAATGTGAAGAAAGGGCGGATTCCCCGGAAAATGCAAGTCAAGGTTCCCTGTCTGAGGGGGAAATTGCCCCTGATCAAGATCTCTCGGAGGATGAAGGCCTTGAACCAGACCAGCCTTCCTTCATTGGTCTCTTCAAGCCTCAATTATTCAGATCCCTTCTATTTAAAGCTCAAAATGTTACTGGCCTGGGAATTTCTTCTACTCCTTCCTCTCAAGGGGCTTCTACACCATCTTCTCAGCATCCCTCTTCATCATTATTATTTCAGGAACCTTCCATTCGTGCAGAGGTTGTTCCAGCTCCCAAGCTGTTTTCTGATGTCGTTCAAAGACAGTGGTCTTCTCCTAGTTCTGGCCCGGTTCCCAATGGTCTAGATAAAAGATTTTATAATATGGCATCTGATTTTGCTAATATTCTTCAAGTTCCTTCTGTAGATGCTCCCGTCGTCGCCCTCTCTTCTGCATCTCCTCTTACTGGTCTGTCAGAGGAATTCCTGCGCCCTGAAGATAAGAAGTTGGAATGCTCCTTGGTCAAGGACCACCAGGCCTCTGCTTGGTCAATTCAGGCCTCCTCGGCAGGTTCCTTTTTTAACAGGGCCTCCATCCTTTGGCTTCGCCAATTACAGGAAAGGCTGCCTCCTTCTGATATGCGATCTCACCAGGACATCAACAAGATCCTAGCTGCTGTTGAGTTCTCTGCTGATGCTACTCTGAATGCGGCAAGGTTTTCAGCTAAGGCTATCGGGGCTTCAGTCACTTCTCGTAGGCTCCTGTGGCTTCGTCAGTGGCAGGCAGATGTTCGGAACAAGTGGAGACTGGCTTCAGCTCCTTTCTCGGGGAACTATCTCTTCGGCCCAGCCTTGGACCCACTCCTCATCGAGACGAAGGATCATCGCAAGATTCTGCCCGCCTTATCGAGAAGATCTGATCCTCGTCAGCAGGGTTCCTTTCGAAGCCATTCCTTTCGCTCCGACTTCTCTTCCTTCCAGTCCAGGCCTCAGCGGTACCCTCAGCCCAGGGGCAGACAACAGCAGGATTTCCAGGTCAGGCAGGGGTCCCGTTTCCCTCCCCGCAGACCCTTCAGGGGGGGTAGGGGGCGTCCCTTTCGCAGGTCCCGTTAGTTCTCCTTTTCCTATCTCTGACTCCTTAATTGGAGGTAGGTTAGCATTTTTTGCTGACCAATGGGATTGTTCATTTTCAGACCCCTGGATTAGACGTACTATTAGGTTTGGGTTGACCCTTGAGTTCTCTTCTGTTCCCCCTGACTTGTTTGTCAGGTGCCCTGTCTCTCATGTCAGGTCCAAGAGGGTTCTGCTAGATGAGGCTATTCAACACCTTTTGGAGATTAGGGCTGTTCAATGTGTTCCCCTAGGGGAAGTTGGCCAGGGATTCTATTCCCGTTTGTTTCTAGTTCCCAAGGCTTCAGGAGGCTGGAGGGCCATATTGGATCTTAAATCTTTG